AACAAAAGGTCGTTTTTAAAAAAACAGGACATAGAGGCATACAGTACCTATTTACACTTTCTTTTCTATTCAGAGTGATGGATTTTCTATAGGTTTAAGTCAGACTGACCGTTCCTCATTTACAAATCCTAACATAGGTATATTCGCTGCATTGCTTATAAGTATATTGCTTATACTCTTGCTTTTCAGTAAGTCTCTTAAAACAGAAAAGTAATAATATGATATTAAGCTAAGAATGTTGGACATGGGAAAAGGAGCATTAAAAATTAATAAGAAATATGATTTTAAGTTACAAAATGGCAATTTTTTTAAGGTCAGAGAGTGGTAAGGAAACAAAATTCAACACTATTCAACTAATGGAAAGTTCTTATTGCTGAGTGGTGTTTGGCAGACCTCCAGAATTCTTTTGCAATACACAGCAGGATACCAACAAGTACTTAAAAAGTACACTTTTGGATCTGAGTGGATCACTGATCACTTTAGTATGAAATTATGATCAGAATGCTTTTATCACTACAGGAGGAAGAGCAGCCTCACTGCACCAAGGGTCACTTAAGTCAGTTCCAGTGCTATGAAATAATTCTTGGTTACAGACAAAATCTACCCAAGAATATAGGAGAAGCAAGCTGTACTCATGGGAAATATTTGAATATCTATAATCCTATCAGATGTGATAACCAATGACTAATGGACTAGTGACAAGCCTGTCCTTTCAAGTATCTCTATTTTTGCTAGAATGATTTCAACAGAACCTTGTGATTCTTTGTGAAAACCTAACTCTCCTTCTCACCAAGGGTTTCCTACTTCTCTATATTTACCCTTCATGACTATGTGAGTATACATGAAGGAGTACAGGTAAGAGACTATCATTATCTTGCCACAGAGGGGGGAAATGGGTAACTTTGTGTGAAGATGTATATGTTAATTTGTTACACTGTAGTAACCATTTTACTATATAGGTGTATCTTATAACATCTTGTTGTATACCTTAAATATATACAATAAATATTATTTTTTAAAAAAAGAGACTAGCATTGTCATATGGGATTATGCTTTAGTAAACTGGTTTCATAATTATCTGTACTACTTAGCACTGATATTGAAGTTCTCAACCCAAAGACATAAAAGAACTTCTTGCAAAACATCATTTAAGGTTCATGGAAGAAAAAAGGAGACCAGATTAGTTTAGTTCACCATCATATCCCAGTGCACACCAATGAACACCCTCAACAAAAATTTACTGAGGGTTAACCACGTACTGGCCCTGTGACAGGTAGGCAATGGGAATTAACAGTACACAGGATAGTCTCTGTTCTCATAGACTAATACCATAGAAGAGACTTGACTAGAACTGGGAGGGGAAAAAAGAGTGGAAAACAGGCAAGTGTAATAACTCAAGAGTCTGGGAAAGACAAGATTTATTCTTATTCTCCGAAATAGTCACATGGCTGGCTCTTTCCAATATTCAAGTCTCTGTCCAAAAGGCACCCAATAATTGAAGGCCTTTTGACCAAAGAATGGAAAGGCAGGTCAACCCCCATCACCCACTACTGTCATCTGAGCAGCATTCTCCTTCCTCATTACTTGCTTTATTATCTTCACAGTGTTTATCATATGGGAAAAATAAATTCCACCCCCCCAACCCCCCCGTGGCAAGATAATGATAGTCTCTTGCCTGTACTCCTTCATGTATACTCACATAGTCATGAAGGGTAATATGGAGAACTAGGAAATCCTTCATACTATCTGAAGTTGTATTACTTATTTGTGGGGCTGTCTTTCCCCACTAAAATGTAAGCTCCATGACAGCAGGAATCTCGTCTGTCTTATTCATTGCTCTGTTCAGTGACAGGGACACAATAGGCATTCAATAAACATTTGTGGAAGAAAGGTAAGGAGGGAGAGGCTTCAACTAGTGAAGTACACACTAAGGATATTTATATGAGGTTTTTCCTACCCAGAAAAGCCTCAAATCTTAAACAAACAAACAAACAAAACAGAAGTCAAGCTAGTTGTAAGAATCAATAACTTATGATTCTGAAATTTATCATGTCACAAAGGGAACATAATTAGGCAATGATGTTAGGAAAGGATTTTCATCCACTACTGTCTTTATAATGCCTCTAAATCATGTATTTTTCTTCAGAAAGTTCTCTGGTCAGTTCTAACACATGCAAATAAATATCAGCATAATTTAACCTCTATGAAAAAGATCAATACAAAGCCTCTGAGAATTATTTTCTATACTTCCTCTAAAGCAGCTACTTTTAAAAGGCTACGGGTAGAGCTGGGACAGAGTTATAAAGTTACAAAGTGAAACTGGCACAGTCAGTGCACTAATGCTAATGAGACTATAAATTCAGAAGAGATCCTCCGTCACTGGTACCCTCTACACTACACAGGTACAGTTCTAGGTACACAGCAGGTACTTTACAAATATTTATTGAGTTTTCAGAAACCTACTCTTGGTATCCATTTTGATATAGGAAAGTAACATGCAAAACCCACCAAGCAACTGAAGACCTGCTAAATTCTTAGGAGAAAAAGCCATATGGACAGATTCTGAGCTCCACACTGAAGCAAGAGCTGTCAGAAAAAGCAGCTGTATAGAAAGATGGTTTCTATTTCATCCCGGAACCTCTTAAAAATTGAATCTAGGTATGGTATTAACTTTTACTCTTCCAAATCCTGTTCTGAACTCAGAGGTGGAGGGAATCAATCTTGGAAATCTTCCAAGAGGATGAATCTAGTTAGTCCCAATCAATAAATGACAAACTAGCAGATGAGCTGATGAGTTCTTTTACATGCTTTTTGCCTGTTTATTTTCCACAATGAGCAAGCATTGCTTTTGTTTAAAAAAAAAAGCTTTCATTAAAAAACAAAAAAAATTAATGACATATGAAAGCCAACAAGTAGGACAACTATTTTTTTTCACTTTCTCCAAACAATAGTAGTGTTGTATTTGTGCACAGATTCAGCTGGCAGGGAACTACTGATTAACTGAAGGCTTAATCAGATAGTCACTGATACGGTAACTTCCCTTAACAATCCTCTCAGGGTCAGTCGGTCCTCAGTAAGTGCTGTGCAGTAGAGTTAAGACTTCAAATTAAGTGTTCAAGCAAAGCCTCCTGGCCCCCTTTCAGAAGTGCTACAGAAAAGTTTCCTGCATGTGAACAGATGTATAGATCACGGACTCACAAACATTTTGGTGTCAGCACCCTTTTACTCTCTTAACCACTGAGGACCTCACAGAGCTTTGGCTTGTATGAGTTATATTTATTAGTAAAGACTGTATTAGAAATTAAAACTAGGAAATGAATAAAACACAAGAACATCAGAACCATCAGAGTGGTGATGTCATCACACATTATGCAGCCTCTGGAAAACTCCACTGTACACTGGTGAAAGGATGAGAGTGAAAAAGACAAATACCTTCTCAGTATTATTCGAAGAGTTTTAATCTCACAGACCCCTGGAAAGGGTCCTTGAGAATCACTGGTTTAGATAATCAAGAACCCTTCCAGTGCTATGGTTCTGGAGCAGGGTTTCTCAACCTTGGCACTATTGACATTTTGAGGCAGATATTCTTTGTTGTGTCTCGTGCTTAGTAGGATGTTTAGCAGCATCCCCAGCCTCTAGTCACTAGACGCCAAAAGCAATCCCTCAGTTGTCACAAACAAAAATGTCTCCAATATCTCCAGATATTGCCAAATGTCCCCTGGTTGAAAACCCACTGTTCTAGGGTGTTGATTTTATTCTACTGAAATGTGAATTACAAAATGTATGCCCCTCACTGCCTTCTCAGACCCTTAATATGTCTATTTCCTCCCCATTCCCCTCTGGGTCTATTCCTTCTGTTCTTTTATTAGGTCACAAACAGCAGGAGCCAATAGGTAGCAACAAACACAGGATAAATCAGGTCAGGAAGAGACACTCTGGTCAAAGTTCACCTTACGCATTAAAGTTGCTAGGGATCCACCGCCTAATGGGGCAGAGAGCAATCAGCCATCATTTATCCAGCCACTCTTAGAACCTGGTAACAACCCAATCCTTAGGAAGTCACCTACCCCCTCCTCCAAGAACAAGGTAATAGGCCAGTTGTGCGATGGGGAAGGAGAAAACAAGAAACTGAAGGTAAGGAGGTAGTACACAAAACTCAGATACACTACCCCCCAAACTTCACATGTGGGAGGCCCTCCTAACTGAAGCATCTGGGGATTTTTTTGGACAGGGTTTGGCTGGGAGGAGATAGCAAAACTGGTAGAAAACCGACAACCTCAACACCTCCACGTCAGATATTCATTCCCCACAAAAGTTCCCACTTATCCCTTTAAGTCACCAGAGGTTGTGTCCAAGTTTTCTCTCCTGGAAATTGCCCCAGCCACCTTAGGTTCCTTCATTCTCAAAATTCTGACTACCAAACTCAAATCCAGCATAAGTCCTCATCTATTGGATCACCCTTTCTCCCCAGCGTCAAATGCCTACCTACAAAACCCCCAGCCCTGTTCTTGTCCCCCATTCACACACTTCCCCCAAGCTACTCCAGACAGGCAGTCTCTTCCCTCCCAGTTTTCTTTCTCACCCCACGATGTTTCCACCATCTTCAAAACTCTTCCCTGATCTCAGGAAACCAGGACTCTAAATGTCTCTGCCGCCCCAGAATCTGCATGTACCGCCCTCCTATGCTCACTCCTTAGGGTCTTCCATAAGTTACTCTTTCCACCCCGACCTCCTCCACTTCACTCTTTCCTGCCTACTCCCTGGGCGTCCACCCCCCTTACTTGCCCCTTCTTACTCTCCTGGGCCCTTCTTCCCCACCATCCCTCGGTCAGGCCTTCTCTAGGTCACTGTTTGCCTACCCGGGCGGTTCCGCCACCGCCCAGGATCAGCTGTTGAGCCTCTCAACCCCCTCGCCCGGGACCAGTCTTTCAGGTTGTGGCCTTTGAACCGGCGCCCCGGGCCCAGGCTGAGAGACGGATCAGGAGGGCCCGACAACTCACCCAGGACGAGGCAGAACAGAACGAGCCCCGCGCCCGGAACCGGTGACAGGCGGAAGCACACCATGATTACTCAGAGCCAAGGGCGGCGGCGGCGGCGGCGGCAACGAGAGCAGCAACACCAGGGAAAAGGCTCACTCGACCTGGGGCAGGAGCACAGCTGACCACTGACCACAGAGCTGCCAAAGCCAGGAAGCGGCGCTTCAGCGTGAGTCATAAGACCAGGGGCGGGGCTCTTTCTTGCTTTCAGCCAATCTCCGCTCTTGAAAGCAGCGAGAGGGGTGGTGATGTCGGGGCCGGTGGGCGGGGCGGCCACGCCCTGGCTTTTTGGTTCACAGTCCTTATGCTCCTAAGAGAAAATGCGGACGGCGTTTTCTAGGGCTGAAAAGGGAGGGTAGACTTTTGAGGGCCGTAGATAGCGGATCATTTCTGTTCCGGTTTCTTGGGGAAGAAGAGAATAATTTTCCCGGCGTAAAAACGTTTGCTAGTCATCTCGACTAATACATACAAAATAATACATGATTATTCTCCAAACACTATTGTTACCTGTGCAGTTCATGCTGTTAGACGGACCAGGCAGCTGGGGGTAGTATGCAGTCACTGACCACGGGAGCAGGACGTGGTCTTGAAGTTACAACAGCCTGTTTCTCAGATGGGGAAATTGAGCTCACAAAGAGGAAGGTCTTTTTTTAAATACAGGAAGAAAAAAATGAGAGAGAAAGTAGAAGAATAAAAGGAAAAAAATAAAGACCATCTATATTCACACTACTCAGAGAGAGACACTGTTAAGAGTATATATATATATATATATCCTTCCAGATGTTTTTCCTATATATATACACAAATATCAGGGGTCCTCAAAAAGTTCATGGAAAGATTCCTATTATGACTATCTTTTAATTCTATTTTTTCCACGAACTTTTTGAAGTACCCTTGTATTCTGTAATGCGTTCATATTAAACATACTGTTTGGTATACTTGACAGATGAAAAGACAAAACCTAAAATCGCTAACAGATGAAAGTGTTCAAAAACCATAAAAATCTCGAGTTGGAATAAAACATTGATTCTCACATGTTTCCAAAAAAATCATCTGAGAAGTTTTCAAAACATACAGATTTCTGTACCTCATTCTCCAGAGATTCTGAAACAGTAGGTCTGTGGCAGTCCTACAAATCTGTTTGTTTTGCTTTGTTTTGTTAACAAACACTGCAAGTTATTCTGATGCTGTGGCCCATGGACCACACTTTGAGAAATACCAAAATAGTTTCAAAATCATCCAGTCCAGGAGATCTTAATCTGGGGTCTATGAATGAGCTTCAGCTGGGTAAGGAGAGGAGTGTCAGTGAATCCTCAGAAATTACATGCAACATTTATGTATATGTATTTTTTCCTGGGGAAGCATATAATTTTCACTAGCTCTCAAATGGGACCTGTGACACTACACCCTAACCCCTACCCCAACTCACATATTAAGAACCACTGATATACCCCACTAGCATTTACTTTAATTTGATTAATTCTTGAAAGTGAGAACACTTGTCAGTGAATGTCTTCAATCATGTGTCCTGAGCAAGTGACTTGCCCAACACAGGACTAACATACACTACAGTATTAGTCATTGACTTTAGCAAAACGTCATTTGACTGCCCCACGATCAACAAAACTTGGCAGGAGCTATAGTCCTGACTATAGTATTCTTCAGAGAACCCACAATTGAGTTGAACCCTCAGAAGTTGTTGCAGTAATCACTTATTGATGGACTCTGGCCCTTCTCCCTCAGCTGCAAATTCTGTGACTTTAATGTGCAGCAAAATGCTAAGTTTTTTTTTTTTGTTTGTTTGTTTGTTTGTTTGTTTTGGCAGCTGGCTGGTAAGGGAATCCAAATTCCTCGATCCCTAGTGTTATCAGCACCAAGCTCTGCCATGTGAGCTAACTGGCCAGCCCCAAACCCTAAGTTCTAGAAGAGACAAAAGAGCATAGTGGAAAGAACATTGGATTGGCAGTCAGAGGAACTGGGTGTGAGACACCACTTACTGGCAGTGTGACCTTGGGCATGGGCAAGTCAGCTCATCTGTTTGAGCTTCTGTATCCTTACCTGTAAAATGAAATAGTGAGACTAGAGCTGTGTTTCTCAGTCCTGGCTGCACATTGGAACCACTTGTGGAAATTTAAAAATAGAGATGCCCCTTAGTCCCACCTCTTGAGATTTTGTTTCAGTTGGTCAAGAGTCAGGCCTGGGCATGGTATTTTTTGCAAAACTCCCCAAGACAATACTAATGGGTCAGAGGTGATCTCTAAGGTAGGCCCAGCTTTGGGAAACAAAGTGTCCCACTTAGTCGAACATCTGGTTTAATAAATTGCTGCCCTTTATCTCTCACAGGTATCATCAAATTAAAAAGAAAAAAAAAAGAACACAGTGAAATACAAACATAATTATAAACTAATCTCCCTGCCCCCACCCCCCCAACCCCATCACAACCTTTTCCTCAGACAAAAACAAATATTGGATCCTTGACTGGGAAGGAATCTTCGTGAAACAGAACAGTGTTTTAGAAGTTGTAGGTAAATGGTGGGTATTTTGTCAGAATAAATAGGCTACAAATTTTCAAATCTTTATTTGGTCTGAGCTTCTATACTCACAATTCTTTAATGCTTTTCCCCAAAACACCGTGAAAACTACCCCTTTTTGTATGCAGTCTCCCATTACCCTACTCCAGGTTGAAGGACCTTTTCCTAGGCTTTCTATAGTAGAAGCAGATCTATACGTGGGACTGGGGTCGATGTTTGAGGAACGCCATGAGATCCCTTCCAACCTAAGCCTCACAGCTGGAGACCACACTCTTGAGTCATGAGGTCCCAAATTCTTATTGGTGGTTCTCTGTCCTCTGGTGAATGGGATTAAGAGGTGGGGGGCAGAAGGAACTTTTATTAATGCCTGCAGTGTTGAAATTTGTACAACAAATGGATTGTTTCTGTAATAATGGCTTTTAAATTAATTAATGCCAATCATTAAAAAGTCAAATAATTTAAAAAGGTACAAAATCAAAAGAAAACACTCTTTCCCCTCCCTTGGGCTGAAGTCCCACTCCCAAAAATAACACCTATTAGCTGTCTCTTTTTTTATGCTCTCAGGAAAAAAAACTCTACATGTACCGCTATATATATTTATATCCTTTTTTTAATTAGACAAATGTGAGCATGCTCTTTATATTGTTTAGTAAGTTGCTTTTCTCTCTCAGTGACATATCTTGAAGATGTTTCTTATAAGTTATATAGCTTTAACTCATTTTTTCAAATAGCTGTATAACCTTTAATTGTGTAGTTGTAACATAATTTATAAAAGTAAAAATATTCTTAAACCCTTCCTCCCCAATTGAATCCCTAGATCTATCTGCAGCATCACCATGTGGTTAGTATAAGAATTGCATCACAGAACAACACCATTTTATTTTACAGGGAATTTTAATAAACCATTTATACTTATGTCACTGTTTTGGAAATTAGAAACGTGTCACAAGATAAGCATTGCTGGTGTAGCCGAAGCAAAACGGAGTCCAGCAGTTATGATGCTGAACTAGATTGGTGGAACCCACTCAGCCATCAGATTATCATGTGACGTTAGGAAAGTCACTTCATCCCGTTTGTGCATCTTATCTCCCTCTCCACATACAAATTAGGACACCCCTTCCCACTGGATTTGGAGGAGACAGGGACATAGTCAGCTGGTGGCAAGAAGTTGTTTCTCAGAAGAGGGCTGATTTAGAACAGTAGTTAGTCTCTTGCATGCATGTCTTTTATTATTTCTTCAAAATCATATCGCAGTCTTCAGGGGCGATATAGTATAGCAGTTAAGAGCCCGGCTCTGGCCCTGGACTGCCTGGATTTGATTCCTGCCTCTACCGTTTACCAGCTGTGTGACTTCTGGGCCTTGGTTTCCTAATCCATAAAATGGAGATGATAATAGTACAATTATTGGAAGGATTAGACGAGGTACATAGAAAATGCTGACATGTAGTAAGCACTCAACAAATATTATCCATTACTGTTATCAGTATTAATAAGTGTAGTGTTCCCTTCTCTCCCTGGTGGTATGTCACAGACTTAAGGGAGTTCTCATTGTGCTCTCTGCACAAGGGAGCCAGTTGACCTGAGGGCTATTCCTATCCTTCATATTTTATAATTCTCTTTGTATAATTGTAATACATGCTCAATAAAGAACATTTATAAAACACTGCTAAGCACAAAGATGAGAATTAAAATAATCCATGGGCCCACTTCTGCCTAGAACGTTCCTTCTTGCCCCACCCTCTCCCCACGAGGATGGCTCTTGCTTCTCCTTCAGGTGATGTGACTTTCTACAAAGAAACCCTCCTTAAACCAGCCAAGGCTGAATTAGGGAGATTTCACCCATGTGCTCCCCTAACACCCTGGACTTCCCTCATGTAATTGTCTGTTCACTGGCCCAGACCCAGTAGTAGCTGGGAGCTTCTTTAGGGCAGAGAACACGACCATATTTTTTCACCAATCTCTTCTCATAATAAATACTCAGTAAGTGTTTATTGAATTAATGAATGAATGGAAGATGTAAGACTAGACTCTGGCTTTTGGAGACCGGATGACCTAAGCGCTGAGCTGGTGGAATGATCTCCCCAGAATATTTCCCAGGTTTTTTCCATCCATGTCACATCAGGGAAAGTGGCAGGATGTATGCCTTTTTCCCACTAGACTAGCCAGCTGACACTGACACACTTCTCATTTTCACCTCTACCACTTTCTTTCTGTCTACATGTCTGTCTTTATCTCTCTGTCTCTTTCTGTGTCTTTCTTTGTTTCTCTGTGTATGTGTGTGTCTCTCTCTCACGTTGTTTCTCTCTCTGTCTCTCTCTCTCTCTCTCTCTCTCTCTCTCACACACACACACACACACACACACACACACACACACACACTGTCACGCCACCCTTACTTATCTCTGCACTATGATCTCCATATTCTCTTTCCCTCTTTTTTTCTTTGGCAGTTGGCCAGTACAGGGATTGAACCCTTGACCTTGGTGTTATCAGCACCACGCTCCGATCAGCTCAGCCAACCAG